GTCTATAGCCCCAATGCGAAAGCTTTACACACTGTCCCTACCTGTGTTCGAACCAGGGACCCTCTACATACATCGCCAGTCACTCCACACATTCCGCGATGCTTTCAAAGTAAATACTTCCAGTTCATAGATCAAGTGACGTCACCAAATGAAAACTGCACTAGCTTTCACCTCATTCAGCAACACAAAGTAATGCTATCTCTCCCTTCACCCATTCTCTATTGAATAATTGAGTCTTTCTATTTAACCCCAAAACACGCTACAAATTGTCCATTCAACATCACCAAACCAAATACTTAGTAGCATCCGGTCACCACCCACACCAGCCGTTGAATTCACTCATACACACAGACTTCACCTCATGCCACCGAAATGCCCAACAAAACATAATAGTTCAATGGAGCCCCCTATTGGCTATCCACTGTTTATACATTACTTCCATACCCACATTAGTTATGGTCCGATTACCCATTAAACCTTATCACATGATCAAACAACGGCACAACCTTAAACTCATATGGGGCGGCAGGCAGCTTAGTGACCAATAGCGCTGCGCCAACAACCGAGAGGTCGCCGGTTCCAATCCCCGAGCCGACCAGGCGAAAAATCTGCCGATGTGCCCTCGAGCAAGGCACCCAACCACAACTCCTGGAAGTTAAATTACCAAAAATGCAAATGTAAATATTCTCTACTTTCTCACCCATGATGTACGTCTACGTTAAGGTGAGCAAGTTCATACGTATATATCGTCAGAAACCCACAGGCATCTCTCAAACAATCGCTTCGTGGTGTTTTTAGCCAATTCTTAATCGACACAAATCACCCCCTAGTCCTTCCTGACTTTTCAAAAGCCACACTCTCGCTGTCTCCAGCCCCTCCCCTCGCGGCTCTCCCTTCTGTGTCCAGTCGGAACAGGCTTTGTCTGTTTTTCATTTAGCGTTTCCAATATTCTGCCGTTATTTAAAGTATGTTAGTCTATTTATTTAAATAAAATTATTCCCACCTAATTAGTTAAAGTCGGTGCATATTTATATTTCAACGATAAACCGAATTATTTCAGTCTAATTATTTAACCAGTATTTTGCAGGGTCAAACATCAAACGTTAAATCAAATAATAAACCAAATTGCCTCAACATAATTATTTAAAACCAGTATTATGCTATGTTAAACATCAAACGTTAAATCAAATACTAAACCAAATTGCTTCAACATAATTATTTAAAACCAGTATTATGCTATGTCAAACATCAAACGTTACAGTTCAGTTATATCAGTTCAAACGTTTCAGTTTAGTCATACTAGTTATTCATTATTTTACCTTTATGTTCCCAATTGTTATTAACGGGTTATACGGTTTAAGCAACCACAAACCCAATAGTTATTCACAAATTATACAGTTTGGACAGCCACAGACATCTTTAATTCCTAATTAGTTTTCTATCAAGGTATACAGGTTTATTAATTTTTGTAACCCGCATTCACTATTTTATTTAGTCTGCAAACACTATTTTATTACACTGGGATCATTCACACGCTCATGCATACGACACCCTATACTTTAAAGTGCTCCTCCGATCTGGGCGGTACCCCCAAGTACAGCTCCCTGCCGAAGCGCAACACTATAGTGTACTTTAAAGTGCTCCTACGATCATAGCCGTACTAGTTACGGACCTTGCCATAGCGCAACACTATCTAAAATTTCCCAAACCTAGCCGTACCCTCGAAGTTACGGACCTTGCCGGTGTAATTCTTCGAACCTAGCCGCACCCACGTAGTTACGAACCTTGCCGATAGCAATTACTTAAGTCAATTATTCCCTGTATCTTCAAACCTAGCCGTACCCTCGCAGTTACGGACCTTGCCGATAGATGTCAGTATTTTCTCAGAACCTAGCCATACCCCGCAGTTACGGACCTTACCGGTAGAACAAATACTATATGGTACCATGGTTTAACATCACATTCACCAAAGGTTTGCATGTCACAATATTGTGCTTATCTACTCATAATAGTTTCATAATTTAGTTCACTTACATCAGACAGGTGTTTGACAAAATTAATTTGGATAAAGCCAATGTGCAGAACTTTAGTTATATAACAATAGGTGTCTGCTTACCTGTTTTTAGTAGTCCGGACTCTTTGTGAAACACACCGTTCAATGACAGAGATGTCCAGTGGGCCGGACAATACCCAGTGAAGTCCCTTCTACCAGATCACGTCGGGGTCACCAATTGTTAAGTTCAATTCAAATCTGGTATTAGGAACAAAAGAGGTCAACACGACTTCTAAGATATACTAGTATTTTAATTAATGCAAACCACTTCAATGGTAAATATGATGTTCGTATATATACGGGTCCACTGAAATACCACACAGGGCACTCAGAGAACTGATCCATTGTTCTAAGTTCTTCTTCAATTACTCTGACAGTGATAGTTCCCGCTCCTTGCTGGGCCTATCAGGGTAGAGACTGAGTGTGGTTTAGACTTACTCAGCCAATCGTTGGCGCACAGGCTGGACCCAGCCCCTTGGCGCTTTACCGTTGCACACTGTTGCCAGGCATAAGTTGTTATCATCACAACCTGTAGAGTCAGCACCCATAGACACCGTTCCCCTGTACTCTTTGTACCTACGTCCTTGGACGGTTCACAGATCACAAAGAGGCAGTGTTCGTGTATGTGAGACATTTGAGACACAAGTTCTTATCTCCCCCTACTCCCTAACAGCTCCTCACATTAATCACAGCTTGTTATGTGAAACAATTTATATCAGTACAGTACAAACCTATTATGTTTAATCATTAATGCATTATTTCTAAGCTAGGCATCACATCTAGATCCCCACAGTAAACCTGACCAAAAATGACTTCATATCGGAGTTGTGCCTGTTGTGATAGACAGAGTACTCATCATGGATATAACTTGTTTTAGCATGGACGTTGCCATTGGGGGCTTCCCCATTTTAAAGTAGTCATTGGGTGGGGATTCCTTTGAGTTGGGGGCAATCAGCCAATGAAGAAAATGTACTACTTTAAAATGGAGATAGTCACAATGACGCTGCCCATGCTTTCACAGACGGTATAATCGCACAGATACAAAGATGAGTCCTCTATATATCTCTATGGCCTTTGGTCACGGCGTATCTACAATCTCATTGGCTAGAATGGTCCCACCTGATCTCTCCTCCTCCCGCCTGCCTTCCATCTTTGAGGACATGTATTTCCATTGTTAGAGCAGTCACTCAAATATCTTGTCAATATAATAGACAATCTTTGACGATGTCGAGTCTCCTTTTCGCCTTCTTGTTGACTATTTGATCCTTCTCATTTGACCTGTATGAAACGTTGAGCGATGCAGCTAGAATGCAACGTTCAAGCTAGTAGGGTACCCAAATAATCAAAATAAGTGCGAAAGTATCGAATTGATCTTAACTGGGAAAACTTAATAAAGTGTCAACATTGGCTATCTACCTATAGAAAAGAGAACGAATTCAGATAATATGTACAATGTGTATATACTGATTTGTTACATTTAATGTATTGCGTTACTGAATCAAATTACCCACGACCATAGACAGATGATGCGCCCATCTATGGACCTTTACGGTACAGCCATACCAGCAGAAAGGGATAGTTCGATATGCATGCAATTTCCCATTGAAAAGCTAGCAGCTACTAAAACATATATTAGAATGCCCCCTCAATGACAATTATTTCATACACATTCTGCAAATCATATATTTTCATGCACAGCGTGAAGTCGCTTTTGCACGGTCTCTAACAATAACATTGTGTACAGTGCATCCTAACTAGTTATTTAGCTAGCTAACGTTAGCTGCAAAAAGCATCACCCCCCCCCTCCACCTCCGAGAAGAACAGCGCGCGACCAAAACATGGCGGAGTCAGAGGAGGCTAAACAAAAATCTCAGGTGAAAATATGTTTGCAAATAATTAAGACATTATTATCTTATTAACTACCCACCTATCTGTTTCTGCTCAGCGTTGGTACAGCTAGTTTCCTGGCTAGCTTGCTAGATTTTCCTCAAGTGCATGACTATGTAGCTTAACGTTACAGTAGCTAGAGTTAGCTAGCTATCTAGCTAGGTTAGCTATTTTAACCTAGCTAGCTAGCAGTGTTCGTTGAACAATCAATCCTCATATCAATAAGGGGCTCCAGTGAAAATAATATCACAGTTCTGTCTAACGTATAATGAGATTGCATCCCTGTGTGAGTATAACGGCTTATGTCATGAGGTCCGAAACTGTATGGCAGTCCAAAACCGCAGGCCAGGGTCGCTGGTTCAACTAAGGCCCATTGCGGCTATTTGAGTAGTTACTACAGTCACTGACCAGAGGTCTGGGCCCTCATGGCACAGGCAGGAGTGTGCTTGCTCTGTATGCAATATGGTTTCTGGTTTAAATTCCAACCAGACCATTCCCCCTCTATCGCTGCACTAGTACGAATAATGTCATCGCTTTCTACACGGGTTAAAATATAATTATTAACTGTTCGAGCCCTGAATGTCGATTGACTAACAGCCGTGTTATATCAGACCGTATACCACTGGTATGACAAAACATTTATTGTAGTGTTCTAATTACGTTGGTAACCAATTTATAATAGCAATAAGGCACCTCGGGGGGTTGTGGTATATGGCCAATATACCACATCTAAGGGCTGTATCCAGGCATTCAGTGTTGTGTCTTGCATAAGGACAGCCATTAGCTGTGGTATATTGGCCATACACCACACCCCCTTGGGCCTTATTGATTTAAATATATGCTATTTAGCAGAAGCTTTTATCCAAAGTGACTGTCATGCATGCATACTTTTTTCCCCTTATGGGTGGTCCCATGAATCGAACCCCCTATCCTGGCATTGCAAGCGCCATGCTCTACCAATTGGGCTATAGAGGACCACACTTTTTAACCAATTGTCTCCTCCCTACAGCATGAACTCCGGCTGTCCAAGGCTTTTGATGAGGCGGTGAAGCTCTCAGCCCCCACGGCTGGTGAGTCCCAGCGACAACACACTCCCCTGTCAACAAGATCTCTTTGGAGCAGCATCTCAACCGGACCAGTCTTTGGAGCACCAGAACCAGTCGGACGTCCTGACGTTGACCATGATTTTAGCAGTGATGATGAGGGGAATGTATTCCCTCACATCTCTCATCCTACCAGTACCACCTTCTCCCTGGCTGGCCTGGGACCGGGCCAGCCAGAGGATGAGCTGGATGGGGTTCCTGTGTTTGGAGCAGATGAGGAGGAGGAGGAGTGGGACATAGCCCTGCCCAAGGTGGCGCTGGGTGACGTGGAGTCTGACAGAGAGTCAGGCGGACGGCCGGCTGGATTGCCTGACACACGACGTGCAGAGACTCAGGATGATCAAAATTCAACTGACAGATTCCTTGATGCAGTCTCACTTTCCAATGTTAGAACAGGTTAGAATGAAAACATGATGCCTAGTCTGTTGGCCTGTGACGTTCCTCCTCATGCATTTCTTACTCATCACCAATATAACTTTTCTTACTTACATTTCTTACTACTTAAAGGAAAATTCCACTCAAAAACCTGGTATTTGTTTCATTAGTCCACTGTTGAAACAGTCCCAAAATGTTTTATGCATCTGTATCAACAGTGGACTAATGAAACAAATACCAAAATATATAGTTTTTTTAGTGGCATTTTCCTTGGACTTAGGCCTACTTCTTGTGCAGTGCTTAACAACAAAGTCATTCTTTTGGCAGCTTCTGAGGAGGCTAGTCAAATGCAAGGAGAAAGCCATCTTTCAACTAACCCCTCTCAGTCCCCTTCACCAGATAACAGCTTGGGTAAGACTGCAAGCAACCTTGCCCTGCTAGTTATAACTATAGTTTCAATAAAGAACATGATTTAGCAAATGTTTACGCTTCATGCACATGGTATGCACATTATTAGAGCTGTGCTAATGATGATTCCATTAAATGGCCTTTTCTCAATTTCTGTCAGATGGAGGAAGACAGAATCGGTCTATTGCTGGGGGATCCAGCCGTCAAGAGGTCTGTATTGTGTATGACTTTAGTATACCGGTAGTGTAAGTGGAGAGGGGCAGCAAGAAAGAACTGGCAGAGAGCGCGAGAGATCTCAGGATAATTCCCTTTTGCGGAATGCTTTTATGAACATAACACTTTTTTTTAGTGTCGCCTTCATTCATCTATTTTGTGTTCCAGAACCCAGTGGTGGGGGACAGAGAAGAGCCCCCCATCTCTCCCCTCATGAACATCAAGGATGAGCCCATAGATGAAGGATATGACTGCGCCCTTCTACCCTCAACACGGAGTATCAAGGAGGAGCTGGACAACACAGCTCCTGAGGTCAGCCAATGCTCCCATGCCCTGCCTTAGATGTCCCCTTTTACAACATATTGATATGATGATTCTGTTATGCTATATTATTGTTTCTATATTATTATTATTATTTCTCTGTTCTTATTTGTTGTATGTTACAGGAGGAGCTGAGGATTAGTTCTGTCTTTTCTGTTGGTGGAGGAAATGCGTATGGCTCGCCCACTGCCGCTCCCCAGACCTCCACCTCCATATTTGGACCAGGAAGAAGTCTAGTTCCACAGGGGCCAACGATGACCCTCAGGAGCCTGGCTCCAGTGCCCCAGCCACCCCCTCCCCAGCCCCAGCCCCAGCCCCAGGCCCAGGCCCAGGCCCCTAGCGGCTCCAACCCAGCCAACGCAGTGCGTGTGTCCTGCTCTGGCTGCTCTAAGATCCTGCTGCGTGGTCAGACTGCCTTTCAACGGAAAGGATCCACCCAGCTCTTCTGCTCCACTGTCTGCCTCACTGGGTTCACCCTGCCTCCCATCAAACGGAGAACCTGCTACCAGTGCCTAAAGTGAGTCACTCAGCTACTGACTCACCTCAACTCAACTCCAACTTTCTATCATTCTACTATCATCCGATTCCCAGTGTTACTGTGGTGGTGCACCAAATAACTTCCCCGTTGTTCATGACTGTATCGCTGTTTATAACCATTTCATCTCTTTAACTCGTTTATACCTCTTAATTTCTTCAGGGAGATTGAGGACCCCAAGGATGTGATCAGTGTGATTACAGACAATAACCTGAAGGATTTCTGTAGCCAGTTCTGCCTCTCTGTGTTCAACCGCAAGAGGAAACCAGGGACTATTTCCATGCCTTCTTTCCAAGAGCCCGCCGCTCCGACATGCAGTATGTGCAAGAAGAGCGACACGGTAAGGGACAAAACAGACAGCCACTGGTTTGCCTAGTTCACTCTCATTTCTAACTCAACCTCAGGTGAGGTTACATGAGGAAATGTTTGATTTGACTTGATAATCCTGCCTGATTTGGTAATCCCCCACCCCCATATCTCTCTCAGATTCAGCACGAAGTGACTCACCAGGGCTCCTTGCACAAACTGTGTAGCGATGAGTGTTTCATGCACTTCCGCTCCTCCCACAACCTGGTCATAAACGTGTGTGAGAGCTGTGGCGAGTACTGCGCCAGTACTGACAGGAACTGCCGGTCGCTCCGAGTAGAGGGCGTCACCATGAAGTTCTGCAGTCGTACCTGCATTAGCACTTTTAAACGGGTAAGTACGAACAGTCAGGTGTAAACACAGACAGTCCTCCATAGAAACTGGAGTCCACTTTTAAAAACTGTCTGGCCTTGATTGTCATATGTACTTTGAACTTCTATCAGGTACAATCAGAGGAGGATGGGCCTCCCCTCCAAGTCTGGTTCCTCTCAATGTATCTATATGAATACATTATTGATGTTATGCACATTTGTCTCACTGAGTCCCCCTGTCCCACCTCCGCCATCATCAAATCTCTTCTTCTTATCAACTCTTTCCCATTGTTCCTGTATGACAGACGACCACGAAGGTGATGCCGTGCGGTCACTGTCGTGATCTGAGACTCATGTCTGACATGGTGGAGAGCACCGATACGGATGGCAAGGTGGAGCTCTTCTGCAACTCCATCTGTGTCAATAACAGCCGGCCACAGAACGACCTGTCAGGTAGCACTGACTTTACCATGGTATAAGCGGAAGTCTGCAAAAGTATTTTCATTTATCAATATTTTAGGCCATATGTTGTCTGAAATCTGTTTTGGACTGGTATAATCTTTTATGGAATGCATCTGCATGTCGATTTAGTCCAATAATGATTACTCAGAGAGTGGGGAAAAAAACCCTGAAGTGGATTCTTGACAAGGCTCGGTCGGGATTTATTTTCCGCAAGCCAGCAAACAATTAATTGTTTCAACCAATATTTTGCCATGAAATTGGTTTTAAATTGTATTTGCAGTTGTATTAAAAAATGATTAAATTGTCTGATTTTGACCTGTTGAATTGTTATGGAATCAGATTTTTTATAGATATCTACTGTTTATTAATGAACTGTTTAAAGATGGCTTGTGGTAGTCTCAGCCCATCTGTGACCCCTTGCTGACTAATATGCGAAAAATTGCTATTCTATAATATGGTCTCTTTGTTGTCACAAACAGGAACGGCATTCCCTTGTACCTACTGCAAAGTGAAGGCTGTCTCTCAGTACCACCTGGCCATGGTAGATGGCAGCATCCGCAACTTCTGCTCTTACACCTGCGTCAAGACCTTCCGGGTATTCATTGATTAATTGGCTAAATGGATCAAAACAGAATGTATATTACATATGATCTGTGCTTTCTATGTGTGTATATTAGACTGTTCAGTCTCTGTTAGGTAGATTTGAGAGGGATATGATGTATTTTTCAGCATGCATTTAGGTTCACGTTAATTTTACATAATTGCACATATGCACAACCAAACATAAAACGTAATGCATACAATACAGGTCAAATTGAGAAGATGCCAATCAGCCTATATATAATGGATTTTACGGAATGCATCATGTTTTTTTAATGTGTTCTCCTTTGATGTGATGTGGTAGGAGGCCGAAGGCAGCCAGCCTCCCCCCCAACAGGGCCAGATGAATGGCTCCTCATCCACTGCTCCTCCCATGGTGTCTCCATACCTCCAGACCCCTCCAGCACTACCCCAGGGCTACTCCCATCCTTACCCCCCGTCCTGGGTCCCCACCACTGGCCGCCCGTACGCGCCAACCCAGATCTCTGCTCCACCTCTACCCTATCGAGCCGCCCCAGGCTTGGCTAGGGCCTATGGGGTAGGGCAACATCAACCAGGGCCGCCCATGGCCCCCACCTCCTCCTTTACCTCCGCCACCAGTGGACCTGTGAAACTCTCCTGCCATCAGTGTCCTCAGCAGTTCCGCTGGAAACCTGAGCTCTATGAGTACAATGTAAGTCCCTCTCTCTCGATCCTGTACCTTGTTTATTACATTTGAGGTGTCATGGGGATGGTAGTTTTGTGATAGGTATTGTAGTTTTGTCTATTGCTCAGACCCTCCTTCGTGTGATAGTAATTGTAGTTTTGTCTAATTCTCTGAGTCCTCCTCTTCAGACGGGGGTTGTAGTTTTGTCTAATGCTCACACCCCTCATGCCCTCCTCTTGTGATGGGGGTTGTAGTTTTGTCTAATAATGCTTTTCTGATGGGGGTTGTAGATTTATGTCTAATGCTCTTTGTCCTTCTGGGCTCTTGTGTTGTGTTCCTTCAGGGTCGCACCATGCAGTTCTGTTGCAAACTGTGCTGTGTTGAGTTTAAGAAACGGAGTAATATCAAAGTGAGGTGTGAGTACTGCAAACTGGAGAAGGTAGTCAAAGAAGTCATCAGATATGACCTCATTGACCGGCCCTTCTGCAGTGAGAGTGAGTACCAAAGCCCCTTTCTCGCTTTCTCCTAGTCCTTTTTAACAATTTGTCATAAATAGAACAATGATTTAATCATTTATGTTTTGAGTATAATATTGTACACTAACTGTCTGTGTGTGGGTGTTGTAACAGGCTGTAAGCTGCTTTTCAAGCACGACATGAAGGGGCCATGGCGGACGTGTGCCTATTGTGCAGACATCAGCCCCAAGATGATCCACAACCACTTTGGTGGCAGGATGCAAGAGTTCTGCAGGGACGCGTGCATGTCCAACTACACTGTTCTCTTCTATGAGGTCAGAGCCAGAAGAATCTTTATGCATGTTGACCTTTATGTATGTAGCAAGCATTTCAGAGGAGGAGTGCTGATTTAGGATCAGTTTTGCCTTAAGACGACAATGAATAAGACTGCAGGGACCTGATTCCTACTCTTGTTTTAGTTTTTTGTTGGTGTTTTACCCACTTTTTCCGTGGTATCCAATTGGTAGTTACAGTCTTGTCCCATTGCTGCAACTCCCGTATGGACATGGAAACACAACCCAACCGAACCGCACTGCTTCTTGACACAATGCCCGCTTAACCCGGAAGCCAGCCGCACCAATGTGTCGGAGGAAACACCGTACACCTGGCAACCCGGAGTCAGCGTGCACTGCGCCCGGCCCGCCACAGGAGTCGCTAGTGCGCGATGGGACAAGAACATCCCTGCCGGCCAAACCCTCCCCTACCCTGGACAACGCTGGGCCAATTGTGCGTCGCCCCATGGGTCTCACGGTCGCGACAGAGCCTGTACTCGAACCAGGATCTCTAGTGGCACAGCTAGCACTGCGATGCAGTGCCTTAGACCACTGCGCCACTCGGGAGGCCAGGACTCCTACTCTGAGTCGCTTTATGAATACATACCCTGATCTCTCACTCTCTTGATTTGATTACCACTTCCTGGGACCTATCTATGTAGCCCACAAATGGCTGAAGTCCTTTGAATTGCTGAACTGTTTGTTGTCCTTCCCCTACCCAGATGGCTAAGTGTGAGTGCTGCAGACGTCAAGGGAAAATGAGAGAGCAACTGAAGTGTTTTGGGGCAATAAGGCACTTCTGTAACCTGGAGTGTGTTATTCAGTACTGCTATCAGACCTTCCAGCTGCACCCTCGGACTAGCAACGGCACCACTACTACACAGGGTACTACTAAATTATATACACATTTCTCTTGAAAACTACTACCTGGTTGGATGACCAATCGCTGCACCTCAGTTTAATGATTGACTTAGGCCTACTACTCAACATGTCTCTCCTCCCCTCTTTCCTTCCCTTCTTTCTCCCCCTGTAGGTCCGTCCCAACCTCTATTCTCCCTCTCCAAGCCAGCTCCTGTCATTGCTGATGTTGTCTCGTTGGCCACCTCTCCTGCTGGCCAGCCCCATGCTACGGCTGCCACTGCCCTCACAGGTAGCTAGCACACTTATCTAGAACACTGGCTAATACTGAGCACGGTTAAGACATTGTGAATGAGTGGTCTAATAATATAAGCTTTGTAGTTAAGACTGGTTTTTGTTTTGCTTGCAGGAGCTCTTCCTACGTCTAACTCTCATGGCAAGAGCCTTGACGATGCGAGTACCCAGACGGACGCCATGAGGATCTCAGCCCGCCGTCGGATCATGAAGAACAAGGCCATCATCTGTAAACCCCTCATGCTGGACCAGGAAACCAGCTGCCAGATTCAGACGCAGGCAGCAGAGAAACCAATGGCACCCATGGGTAAAACAACAAACTAACATCTGTGATTTTTAGAACTTGATTCTTTAAATTATTGTAATATTTTTTGAACAAACTAGCTACTTTTTAAGATGTCCCGTCCATAAAGTTATTAATAATATCTTCATTATATTTCTATGGCACCACCCTTCCACTGAATTTGTAAATCAGACCTTCCACTACATGTACATAGTATGCCCACTTGGTCTAAAGGGTTAGTAATGATCTCTGATTGTCATCTCGCTCTCGTTGTTGTTGTAGGGTTCACAGAGACTGGGTTCACGTACACAGAGAACGGGGAGAAAGTGCGGGTGGTTGTGATGCCCGTTCCTGTGCCAGTCTTCATCCCAGTGCCCATGAACCTGTACAGCCAGTACACTCCTGTGCCCATGGGTATCCCTGTGCCTGTACGTCTGCTCTGCGTCCTCGCCTCATGCCCACATCCACTGTCTCTTTATATGCCTTAAAATAGAATAGATACTTTATTTTCAATTTTTCAACGGGAATTACCAGGAAGTACCCATCTCTGGTGGCCTAAACACTCACATGCCCCCCCCCCCCCCCCACACACACACACTCTCGTGTCTTGGGTTGTTGTACTTCTGAGCACCCTACTAATACCCCCACCATGTTTCATTGTGTGTTCTTTTAATGATTGGTGAAGTTGGCTGGTTAAACCATGTTTTAATGTTCTCTGTACCCTCTGTTCAGGTCCCAGTGCCCATGGTAATACCCCCCTCGTTAAGCCGCTCAGAGCTCAAGGACAGGAAAGACGGTGTCGCATCTCAAACCATGGCCGAGCAGGAGAAAGACAAACCTGTCTCCCATGGAGGTGAAGATAATCATTTTTACTCTGAGCTGCGGCTGTTCATGTATGAGAACGTTACTGTCTATCTTTATTGTTGCTTGAACAGGTCTCTCTTGCATTTATCTCAATAATGAGACTAACCTGTATTAATAGATAAACACTCTGTTAGAAAAGCAACCTGTTAAATGAAAATCACTGGTGGAGGATCTTACTGAAGGGTTAGATAACATCTGTCTGTGTGTGGTGTTTATCCACAGACCAAGGCAGCGCCTACAGTGGAGACCTGGAGTCAGAGGCTGTGTCCACCCCCCACAGCTGGGGTGGAGAGGCTGTGTCCACCCCCCACAGCTGGGGTGGAGAGGATGAGTCTACAGCCAACCCCCAGAGAGGGACAGAGGGTCCTGGCGACCCCCCCAGCACAACCTCCTCCCCCAACATGTTGGACCTGGAGGCTGACTACCCCCCTGGTGAGAAAGGCTCTGAGAACAGCTACATTTATGTTCCCAGGTTTTATTTAGTGAAAAATATTTATTAAACATTTATTTATCCAGTTAAGAATAAATTATTATTTGCACTAGCTAGGTTTCCATCCAATTAATGCGAATATTCTACAATCCGCATATAGAAAATATGCACATTTTCCCTCCAGTGGTATGTTTCTACCAAATGGACTTGTTGCGTAAATGTTTTTGTGCGTGATGACAGTGCACACAAAATGTACTTTTTCGCTTAAGTTTTCATATACCGAATAAAAATCAAAAGTTTGTGTTTTCATCACATTTTCAACTCTACTGATAGTTCTGTCACAAATTGTTGCATTAAATAGCAAATGTGCCTACTCTGGTCTTGGCACCTGCGCTGTAGGCAACAGCTCGCAGATACAGTGTGGGTAGGATGTGCGGTTTGTCTAGTCTACATGATGAGATTATTATGGATAAACGGCAGTCAAGCATCGATCATCATGTCACCAGAATAAGACCCTCGATATTTATTGGAAAGCAGCATCAAGCTCATCACCTTGCACATTCACCACCCTGTGAAGTTCATCATAAGTTATTTCATCTGTAGCCTAATCATGGTTTCCCGAGTCGTAGTGGGAGGACCACACACCATATCATCGCGTGACTCCAAGTTGATTGGTTATTATATCAATATTTGCGCATAATGGTGTTTACACCGACATTTCCCACATAATTAATTTTACCGACATAAAAAGATCCCACCATGTCGAACGAACAAATTATCTGTCAGCATTTATAAAATTACACCGACACTTCCTGTTTCCATCACAGCTGTTGTGATTTTTTAAAAATACGATATGACTTTACTCGCATAAAAACTGTGGATGGAAATGTGGTTAATGATGAACTTGCAAATTCCCACAGATCACATTTGTATCCCCTGTATAACTGTGTATTCAATGCTGTTTCAGAGTCGTTTGATCATGCTGCAGTGAAGGGGCAGAGGCTGACTGTACAGGCCACAAGACACAAGAGATCCAAAGATGGCTTACCTCCCAGAAAAAGGGTATGTCTATGCTGTAGTCTGCGTCCCAAAGGGTACCCTATTTCCTTTAGTGTGGTTACTGGCCCAATGCTATATATAGGTAACATAACTAGTTAGTTAGGTAGTATGGCCTCTGTCACATCAGCACCATTATTACTATTGACTGCAATAGGGTTTCATTATTAGATAATGATATCAAAGCTATTATACAGTAAAAGCAAGTTGTTTCTCCTCCTACTACGTTGTTGGTCCAAACCTTTGTCCCTTTCCCTTTCTGTGGGCGCTTGTCTGTATTGCAGAGTCGTAAGCGAAGTGGGACTGTGAACATGGTGGAGCAAACTGTTTCACTCCCTCCTGCCAGATCAAAACTCCACCACAAGTACGGGGTGAAAGCCTGGAAGAATTGGGTGTTGCAGAGGAACAAGCAGTTTGACTGTGAATTTTCCAAAGATCCCTGTGAGTCAATCCTAACTGCACAGACCATTTTTAGATCTTTGCTTATCATGTAGATTGATTGATTCATTGATTTGTTAATTAAAGTGCCTTGCAACATTTCAGATGCCATGCCCAGATGAGCTTAAAATATGCTACCGGTATTCATGTACAGTACCTCTGTGGTGTTCAGTAGCCATCTTTTTCGCTATGGCAGCTAAATCCATTGTTCTCTAATCTGGTTTTCTGTGCCCTTGTGTCTCCCCTACGGCAGCTAAATCCATGGTTTTGAAGGAGGACGTGTTGCAGTGTAACTCCTCTGAGCTTAGTTATGGCCTCTGTCGCTTCATCAGTGAGGTCCGTCGCCCCAACGGTCAGGCCTACCCCGCTGACAGCATCTTCTACCTCTGTCTGGGCATACAGCAGGTATTGAGCCTCCATGTTAATACCTAGTATTTTATTCCATACTTTGTTATCCAAATTACTCATATCTAATGCCATACTATGTTATTCCCTGTGGTACCACCTTTTCTGTCTGTCAGTGGCCATACTTCAAATACGGTTCTGTCTATTTTGAGGTTTGATTGCCCCAGTTATACTGATGTGATAGCAGCTAATACTGTTTGCAGCCTAGTACCATCAATAGTATCTGCACTTTTCCTATAGCAACTGCCCCAGGGGCAGCAACATCAATTGTACTTGCCCCTCTGCCAAATATGATATGTAGTGCCTAATGCCTCTCTCCCTCACCATCTCTCATTTGGCTCGACAGTATCTATTTGCGAATGGAAGGATAGAGAATATCTTCACTGATGTGCTCTACCACAAGTTCAGCATGGAGATTACTATGATGCTACATTACTGGAGACCTACCCTGCTGCCCAGCGGTAAGAATATTTCTAGTCTTCTTCGTTTCTTCTTCTATCCCTGTCGTATCCCTTTAATATCGATGGAACATTTGAAAGGCATTCAAAATGATGACCCATACCTCTGTCCCTCCCTCCACTATCTGTTTCTAGGCTACTTGCATTCCCGTGTGGAGGAGGAGTACCTGTGGGACTGTAAACAGCTGGGGGCCTACTCCCCCATCGTGCTGCTCAACACCTTGCTCTTCTTTGGAACCAAGCTGTTCCAGTTCAAGACCCAGAGCCAACACAGACGTTTGTCCTTCGCCAACTTCACCCACTGTACCAGGGTCACTAAGAACGGCAAAAGCGCCTTCCTGAGGTTTAGGCCTTGTCAGGACACTGCCGGTGAGTTCCGACCTCAATGGTGTTAAAGGCTATCACATTCTATTATACTTTATATATCCCATTAGTAGCAATTAAGAAATGCTTTGCCATATCACAAGCAATAACATCCTCCACAAGCTCCATAATGTGCTAGGTTGTATGTTGATTTATTCTCATTGTGTGCGTATACAGAGCTGCTAGCTTTGCCTGCCAAGAGGAAGCTGGATGATGAGGAAGGTGACATGGAGATGCCTGAGAACACTGAGAACCCACTACACTGCCCTGTCAGACTCTACGAGTTCTACCTCTCCAAATGGTGAGATTACATAAAACATATTTATTCCTGTTATATTTCACTCTGTTACTGTAGCTATATGACTTGTTTAGATATTGACAATGTTTTAATGCCTCTCAATGTTTCATAGTCTGAAAAAGAGAAATGGAGAATATTTCTGTAATGGCTGCCTATCGATTCATTATATAATCCTCTTTTTCTCCACCTCCAGCTCAGAGTCTGTGAAGAATAGACCAGGCCTGTTCTACTTGCAGCCAGAGCTCTCCTGTCACTCCAGCAGCTCGCTGTGGTACTCTGGCCAGCAACTAGAAGGCGCTGCACTGGAGAGCATGCTAACACGCATCCTGGCTGTACGGGAGGTCCACCTTAATGAGCCTCCACTGCATCATCACTCTACTGAAGCTTCAGCAGCCTCCACCGATGACAACGATGACAGCTCATAGTGGATATAACAGACTCATGGAATGGCACCCTATTCCCTATATAGTTCAGTGCACTACTTTTGAACAGGGCCCATAGGGCTCTGGACAAAAGTAGTGTACTATATAGGGGATAGGGTGCTATTTCAGACGCAACCATGGACATGTTGCAAACATCCACAATCATGTAAAGACACTACGATAAGATACTGTCTGACACTTCATTTAGTTTTTCATAATGTCTTTGTTTCTAGATTCTAGTTTTAGAGGATGAATGGAATCATGGCTAACAAAACATAAAAATACTGTTAATGTTACATTAGTGTCTGTTTGTTTTTCTAATTTGTTACTATAGCTGAACATTTTATTGTGTTACTTTCTACTAATCTGCCTTTGTTCTAAGGGCCCACACAACTAATTCCATAGTATCGATCATCCACACTACTAACTAAACCAAGGTGATCACATAATGTTGTACATAGTTTCGTTGATTTTTTTTGTTAGTTTTTTGTATGGATCCCTCTGTTATGGACTTGAATAAGCAACATTATTATGCAAAGGACATTTCTGTCTGCTCTGCTGTTTGTTCTCTGAAGGGATTAAAAGACAACCTCTGACTCTGAGAATAAAACTCAGAAACCGATTGAAAATGTTCGTTCACTGTGAAAGTCATCAGCATTTAGATTTGAATAATATGGTAAATTCCACCTGGTCCTGTATGCAAATCTGAGTGGAGCTGAGGAGTCGTTTTAATCTGCTTAAGTGTATGATTTACTGATTGATGGTTCAAAGGTGGGGTTATGTATCTCTGTTGTGATGCTTATGCTTTAGCAGTGCAGAGTCATGTGGTACAGTACATTATGTTTTCATGGACAAATAGAAAAGCTAGTCAGACCACGCTCTCGTTGCATGTGCGAAAGGGCATGAGTGGGAGGAAAGAGGGCACTGTACTGAGAGAAGTGGTACTGAGGGATTGAGTGTGTTGAGCGAAGAAGAGTTTGTGTGGGAGGGAGAGGAGGCAGATGGATAAAAGATCAAACTGCAGGCTGAATTTTTATCCTCCTGTATCTCTCAGCCAAGCCAATCACATTGAAACTGGTTGTATAACAACATGTTTTGTTTTCTACACCATTTTCTGATTTGTTTCGAATGATGTAAATTCAAGGATATCATTCTGTCAGTGTCACATCACCTGTGTAAGATGGAGAAGCTGTGACTGTCCTTCTTTTCACCTCTTTAGAAACGTCTGATGATTTCCCCTGCTGATTCATGTCTGGAGAGGAAATCAAAGCCCACGGCGGTCAAACCTAAATAGAGAGAATAGGGGACGGAGATAAAGAAAGAAGAGACAAAGTTAGTCTTTAACAGCTCCAAACCTCTTAAGCCCTGAAGCAGCCTTAGAAACGTGGGGGAGGGGAATCTGTAATTGTGTGTGTGAGAGAGAGATGGAGAGCGTGAGAGAGAGGAGGGGGGCGGTTTGCGTTGGTGTTGAAATATTTGTCAAATAATCAGTGCCTGTGAGCAGACAAGGATGATTTACATGGTTTCTTAAACCTTCATTTCTTCATTTCAGAAATGCTTTATTCTGGAGCGCAAGCAAGAAAGGGGATGTATTGATCAGCTACCATGGCAATAACAGGTGTTTGGCATCTGACTTTATTGATGGGCACAATGGAAGTTGATGACAGCAGAGACAAGTATGAGGAGAAGCCGATGCAGAGATAGACGATGGGAAATGCTTTCGGGGTTCTGAATGGACCAGCACTGAGAGAGCAGTGAGTTACCCGACATCATGTTGTTGAAGTAGTGTTATTTTCTGAAGCTGCAACTACTAAATTCCTCTGTTTTTGTGTTGGCTGCAGTCAGAGGAAGCGAGCAAAATTGTTCTTTAAAATACCTGTATGTATGACAAAAAATAAATTCCCCAAGCTCCTCTACTGTTATTATTGAGAGGAGACGGTTTTGACAGACTTTACAGATGGCACTCCTCAATCAGAATATTTCTCATATTTACAGTTGACTATTGCATGATCAAAAGGAATGAGCTGACATGCATCTTACACATTTTTAAGTTGTCTCCCTGCACCTCTTGTCTATCTAGTATATTTTAATTACGATCTCTATTTGGACTACTCTTAAAAAAAGAAAACAATTACTGACAGTAATTTTTGCTGGTAGTGGAAAGAACACTATGGGGAAGCCTCTTAGTCGACCGGGTTGCTGCAGGCAGAGCTCCTGCTGCCTGGAGAAGAGTGTGGATGGGGATGGCTATAATGAGGACGGTTACATCCCCCAGCGCTCCATCTACGACACGATGTGTATCAATGAACATATTGACCATGGCTCTGCTCAGAGCACCATAACCTCCAGAGGAGGCCAGGACAACAACTTCTCTAGCAATGGCAACCTAGGGGTGGGAGCAGGTGCCAGTGGGGACATGATCACGTTCGATGCACGATCACGATCCACGACTCCCATACCTTCCGTAGGTAGGAGGCTGGACGAAAGGGTGATCTTTGACCAGCTAAAGCTGGTTGAAGCTGGCCAGAGCAGCCGGTTTGGGGGTAGGTCAGTGTCCCCCAGTGTCTCCTTGATGTCAGCCCCTGAGGGAACTTCCTCTTCCAGTGGCAAGAGACATCAACACCAGCATGATAGCGGCAAGAGAGGGGACAACGGCCGGCAGTCCTGGAAAGTCCTAACACCCCCGAAGAACCTTGAACATCTAGAACTATCATCTGGTGATGTAATGGAGAAGAATTTCTTAAATCCTCTCTACCTACAACACAGCATGACCTCCCCTCTCATCTCACCCTTCTCTGGGTCACCCCTCTCCTCAGGCTGTCACACCCCTGTGTTCTACTCCCCAGCCAAACCCCTGCCGTTTCAGCAGCATAGCTTCATCTTCGAAGAATCACCCCCCTCTCAGCCTCGTCACCCGCCTCCCAAACCCCCTCTCGCCCAGCTCTCTGTGACGGCCCTCCAATGTGTTCAAGAGGATCTCAGAAGGATAGGAGAAAGAGATAGAGAAAGAAATAAAGAGAAAGGGGTAGAGATTGAGAAAAAAAGGGAGGTATCCCACTCAGTGGGCTCAATGTCTCAAGAGGAGAATGTTGGGGTTTTTGGGTTTGCGCCGAGGACCAAGGCACTGGACTCAGCCATTGACAATGATTCTCCCTTCTCCCCAGAGCCTCCCCATGACACTACCCCCCTCATGCTCGATCAGATTTCCCCAGGACCTGCTCCTGCTCGTGCTCTGAGCCCCCAGCCTATGGAATCCACCTGGCCTCGCAGGCTGATTGTAAGGAAGAGAACTGTTAGACAAGGTGGTGCACTCCATAACCTCCCTATCCTTCCCCCTCTGCCCTCCCTGGTGGCGCTTAGTGCCATGGAGAGAAAAAATCTTCCTCGCCTCACCCCTTTTTCCGAGCACCAGGGTAAATTGGTAGGGTTGATAGGTAGGGTGGGTTACTCCTTGAAGGAGCAAAACTTGGAAAATTGGAGGGTCTACTCTGCGAAAAAATCTCTCCAGAAACTAGAGAAGGAAGGGGAAGGAGAGGAGCCAGAATGTAAAAGCAGTGATGGTGCTGAGTCAAGTTTTAAGGAGGGAGATCCAGAAAGCAAGGAGCAGGAAGATGGAGTAGGAGGTGGTGGTGGGGGTGCTGAGGGGGAGGAGGTGGAGGAGTGGGACACAGTGCTCGGTATGGTGAACACACTGTGGGATGAAGGCTGGGGGGACGCAGAGTCTTACACTGGCTCTCTGAGGCACTGGCCTCTGCTCAAACCCCCTTCTGGGTTTGGAGGATCTCACCCGCCCTCTAGTGCTGCTTCTGAACTCTCTCTCCTGGAGCTGGAGAGAAGGGCCAAGGAAGTAGAGAGTGAACTTGTGGCAGAACAATGTCTGACAGATTCTCTGAGAAAGAAAGCTTCACAGCTCACAGCAGGGCAATGTGTTGTTTCTGGAAGGGTCTCTGAACCTAAACAGATCAGTACCCAACCCAGCCTTGAACTCCTTGCTTTGGGGTGTTCAACAGGGACAACAAAAAATCTCAAGGAAGACTGTTCGCCTGATTCCAACCAGACCTTGGAGTCAGACTCAAGTGGAGTCTTCATGTCGAACCCCAGTCAGACCAGCCAGGAGGACAACGCCTCAGATGGTAGTGACAGACCCTTGACTGAGTCAGACTTGGGGAGCAACACATCTCTGGACCAGGATAAAGACGAGGTGGCATTTAAAGACTGGGGGAGGGAGGAGAGCACAGAGCTACAGTGGTGCTACCCATCACTCTTAAAGAGCTCCTCTCACTGTGAGGAGCATGGGATTGAGGAAGAAGCACCTTTGATGAAAGAAACAGAAATGGGTGAGCTGCAGTCCACCAGCAATGAAGGGCCTAATAATCCAGATCTATATGATGGTACCAGCCAGGCAGAATTGAAACCGAGGAACAAGAGTGTTAAAATAATGTCTAGCACTGACTCCCCACTCCCCTTATCCCCCTCCAGACATGAGATACCACGGAATAGGTCCGGCTTGGACAGCAGTGACCTGGATCCGTTTGTTACTACAGATAGTTTTGTATACCTGGCTGTGTCTGTGCCCCCTGCAGTCTCACCAGCACAGGAGGAGCACCCCTCTCTCCCCTCTCTGACTGAGTCTACACCCCCAACCTCCCTCTCCAAACACCTCTGCCCCAACGTTGAGGAGAGTGACTTCCTCTCAACAGATAGCTTTGTTTACCTGGCGGGTCCTGAGTGTCACCGGCTCGCCATAGAAGGCCACTCTTCTTTCATTAGTAGTTCCAAGGAGTCAGACTCCTCCGATGACAGCGGGTCCGGAGTGGACTTTGTACTCGGCTCCATGGTTGGAGACAGTGACTGGGATTCTGATGAGTCCGAGTCTGGTCCGAAGGCTAAATCTAAACCAATCAAACAACCAACATGGGATCTGTGGAAGGAACTAGAGCATGAGGTGTTGTCTTATCTATTCTGTGAGGAAGTGAAGCCAGCGACAGAGCCAGTGACAGAGGAAGTTCCAGTCCCTGTAACCGATCAACCGAGGAAGGTTACCTGGCAGTTCAGGGCCGCTGAAGGTTCCACTCGTCAGACGAGTAAAAAAGACACGTCATCCTCTTCATCTTCCTCTTCATCCTCTTCACACTCCTCAACCCACACAGAGGTGTGAGAGGAGAGACACACTGTCTGCATCTCAAATGGCGCCCTATTCCCTATATAGTGCACTGCTTTTGACCAGGGCCCATAGGGAATAGGGGGCCATTTGCGATACCGCCAGAGTGAGTCTGCCTCATAGTTGTTGATCTCACACTGATTAAGGTAGCCTTTGTTTTGATGAAATTACAATTGAGTTTTTAGGATTTTAACACAATTACCAATTTCTGTCATGCTATGGTATCAATGCTTAATTTCAGTAAAGATAGTCCCAGTAAATGCTACCTTAATAACAGCTTAATTCTTCATCGATTTCTATTACCATATAAGCAAAATGTAAGAATTCCCTTCTACAGTTTCTTTATTTGTTGCATTAAATAAGTTACATATATATATACTTTGTCAAGTTGATTGATATTGAAATCCTGTTGGATTTTCATCTACAATATTTGTTTGTTCTGATTGTTAGAATGGAAGGTTGTGACTTTAAGCGACAGGCCTATACATTTGTTATATATTTAATTTATGTAAAGTGTTGATTGGGTGTTGTATGAAAATGATGGGTGAATGTTGTATATTTGATTATTGCCAAATATATAATAACGTGCTCTGAAATTAATTTAGCATTGTAAAGCTATGAAATCCTGAAGATGTCTTGATGAAATTAACTATTGATCTACAGTAGCCTACCTTGCTTGGTTCTTGATGGTGAATAATACTAAGTGATGCGTATGGAGGGAGCTATTGTAAAGCTTTTGTGTGCAATATGAGTACTTGTAGTTGAAATGTATAAATGTGCAAATAAATATTTTAACTTGGTGATTCTATGTCACCTGCATTTTGTCTGTTGGGAAAAGTAAGCCCCACAATTATTATTTTCTAAATGTTTATTTTACTGCTGTAAGTAGTGGCCATCATCCCCTTACAGTAGATTTTCAGCATTTTGTCTGTTTCAATTTATACATGCTCTTCATCTGTCTCGTGTTTTTCTTGTCCTATAAAATAGGAACTGTGACTTCTGTGTATTACATAGTAGATACAGGCCGAAACTGTTTTGCAGAAATGTAGGGCTCAGTCTGTCTATATCTGGCCAAATTAATTAGATCATTGTGAACAAGGCCAGGGAGGTGGCAGTAGGTGTGTGGTGGGGGGCTGTTGTAATTAATAGCTAAATTATGTCAGCTATATTTCACATGAGAATCAATACACACATTATCTGAGGACAAACTGTTGTGTTTGTGTCAGAGCATGATAGCACAAACAGACTAGTACCCAGGCTAGTAGTACATCAGTGACCTTTCATCATCCCCGCTGTGTGTCTGGGTGACTCATCTCCCAATACCATTACTGTGTCACTCACTATATGCGCCACTGTTCTTTTTTCTTTTAGTATTTTTTTTGTAGAAGGAAACATTGTCACTGCTTACCCTAACCCAAGTAAGTGGCACAGTTGATATTGAGCTCTGGAGCATTGAATGACACAGATGACATCAACGTTTTGTTTTAGCGGCTGGAGGAAGGACACTTCTCAGGGCACCACATTTCCAAATACATGTTCATGCAATGACGATCTCTCAGAGGCATGCAGATTGTGTCATCGGGGTGCTTCAAACACACCAGACGTGGTTATTGCATAATTGATTGATTCTGCTGAAGATTATTATTTGCGAATATTAACTCTATATTAGCCTGGTCCCAGATCTGTTTGTGCTCTTGCCAACTCCATTGCCCCCCACAAGGGTGCGTGCTCAGCCCCCTCCTGTACTCCCTGTTCACCCATGACTGCGTGGCCACGCACATCTCCAACTCAATCACCTCAGCCACCCGAGCCATGGCCTGTTCACCCCGTTACCATCTAGAAGGCGGAGATAGTACAGGTGCATCAAAGCTGGGACAGAGAGACTGATAAACAGCTTCTATCTCCAGGCCAGACTGTTAAACAGTCACCACTAGCCAGCCTTCGCCCAGTACCCTGCCCTGAACTTAGTCACTATTACTAGTCGGCAACCACCCGGTACTCTACCCTGCACCTTGGAGACCGCTGCCCTATGTACATAGTCATTGAACACTGGTCACTTCAATAATGTTTACATACTGTTTTATCTACATCATATGTATACAGTCCATTCGCAAGTATTCAGACCCCTTGATTTTTTCCACATTTTTTACGTTACAGTCTTATTCTAAAATGTATTTAAAGTTTTTTTTCCCTCATCAATCTACTCACAACAGCCCATAATAACAAAGCAAAAACAGTTTATTTATATATTTTTGGGTATTACGCTACAAGCTTGGCACACCTGTATCTGGGCAGTTTCTCCCATTCTTCGCTGCAGATCCTCTCAAGCTCTGTCAGGTTGGATGGGGAGCGTCGCTGCACAGCTATTTTGAGGTCTCTCCAGAGATGTTCGATCGGGTTCAAGTCCAGGCTCTGGCTGGGCCACTCAAGGACATTCAGAGACTTGTCCCGAAGCCACTCCTGTGTTGTCTTGGCTGTGTGCTTAGCATCGTTGTCCTGTTGGAAGGTGAACCTTCGCCCCAGTCTGAGGTCCTGAGCACTCTGGAGCAGGTTTTCATCAAGGATCTCTGTACTTTGCTCCGTTCATCTTTCTCTCGATCCTGACTAATCTCCCAGTCCCTGCCGCTGAAAAACATACCCTCAGCATGATGCTGCCACCACCATGCTTCCCCGTAGGGATGGTGCCAGGTTTCCGCCAGACGAGTCTAATAGCAAAGGGTCTGAATACTTATTTTTTATATATATATACATTTGCAACAATTTCTAAAAACCTATTTTTGCTTTGTCATTGTGGGGTATTGTGTGTAGATTGCTGAGGATACATTTTTATTTTATCCATTTTAGAATAAGGCTGTAATGTAACAAAATGTGGAAAAATGTGGGGTCTGAAGGCACTGTATTCTGTATTCAAGTCAAAGCTCATCCTATATCACTTCTGCTGTACACACCTTTCCTATTCATATACTGTCTATACACACCATTATATACATATACAGTATATTTATATTCTGAACTTTGACATTGCTCGTTCTGATATTTCTTAATTTCTTAATTTTAATTTTTAGGGATTTGGGTGTATTGTTTTGTATTGTTAGGTACACTACATGGCCAAAAGTATGTGGACATCTGCTCGTCGAACATCTCATTCCAAAATCATGGGCATTAAAATGGAGTTGGTCCCCCCTTTGCTGCTATAACAGCCTCCACTCTTCTGGGAAGGCTTTCCACTAGATGTTGGAACATTGCTGCGGGGACTTGCTTCCATTCAGCCACAAGAGCATTAGTGAGGTCGGGCACTGATGTTGGGTGATTAGGCCTGGCTTGCAGTTGGTGGTCCAATTAATCCCAAAGGTGTTCGATGGGTTGAGGTCAGGGCTCTGTGCAGGCCAGTCAACTTCTTCCACACCGATCTCGACAAGCCATTTCTGTATGGACCTCGCTTTGTGCACAGGGGCATTGTCATGCTGAAACAGGAAAGGGCCTTCCCCAAGCTGTTGCCACAAAGTTGGAAGCAGAGAATCATCTAGAATGTAATTGTATGCTGTAGTGTTAAGATTTCCCTTCACTGGAACTATGGGGCCTAGACCGAACCATGAAAAACAGCCCCAGACCGTTATTCCTCCTCCACCAAACTGTACAGTTGGCACAATGCATTGGGGCAGGTAGCGTTCTCCTGGCATCCGCCAAACCCAGATTTGTCTGTCAGGCCTTCCAGATGGTGAAGCGTGATTCATCACTCCAGAGAACGCATTTCCACAACTCCAGCCGACGCTTGGCATTGCGAATTGCTGTTCGGCCATGGAAAACGAACAGTTCTTGTGCTGACGTTGCTTCCAGAGGCAGTGTGGAAGTCGGTAGTGAGTGTTGAAACCAAGGACAGACGATTTTTACGCGTAATGTGCATCAGCGCTCGGCGGTCCCGTTCTGTGAGCTTGTGTGGCCTACCACTTCACGGCTGAACCGTTGTTGTTCCTAGACTTTTCCACTTCACAATAACAGCACTTACAGTTGACCGGGGCAGGTCTAGCAGGGCAGAAATTTGACAAACTGACTTGTTGGAAAGGTGGCATCCTCAAGGTCCTAAACAATATAATAACCGCGATCAATAAAAGACAGTACTGTGCAGCCGTCTTCATCGACCTGGCCAAGGCTTTTGACTCTGTCAATCATCACATTCTTATTGGCAGACTAAATAGCCTTGGTTTCTCAAATGACTGCCTCGCCTGGTTCACCAACTACTTCTCAGATAGAGTTCAATGTGTCAAATCGGAGGGCCTGTTGTCTGGACCTCTGGCAGTCTCTATGGGGGTGCCACAGGGTTCAATTCTCGGGCCGACTCTATTCTCTGTGTATATCAATGATGTCGCTCTTGCTGCTGGTGACTCTCAGATCCACCTCTACGCAGACGACACAATTTTGTATACATCTGGCCCTTCACTGGACACTGTGTTAACAAACCTCCAAATGAGCTTCAATGCCATACAACACTCCTTCCGTGGCCTCCAACTGCTCTTAAACGCTAGTAAAACTAAATGCATGCTCTTCAATCGAACGCTGCTTGCACCCGCCCGCCCGACTAGAATCACTACTCTCGGCGGATCTGACTTAGAATATGTGGACAACTACAAATACCTAGGTGTCTGGTTAGACCGTAAACTCTCCTTCCAGACTCACATTAAGCATCTCCAATCCAAAGTTAAATCTAGAATCGGCTTCCTATTTCGCAACAAAGCCTCCTTCACTCATGCTGTTAAACATGCCCTCGTAAAACTGACTATCCTACCGATCCTTGACTTTGGCGATGTCATTTACAAAATAGCTTCCAACACTCTACTCAGCAAATTGGATGTAGTCTATCACAGTGCCATCTGTTTTGTCACCAAAGCCCCATATACTACCCACCATTGTGACCTGTACGCTCT